CTCAACTTTTGGTTGAGATGAGTGAAGGCAACTACTCATCTATTGGCCAGAATAATTGTGAATTATGGCCAATAGCCAGCATGAGAAATGACCGTTCATGATCCAATTGGGACACTTATCGTGGAAGTGCCAGTGGGCATCAAGAATCATACTACTAGCGTTATTAAAATTTATTTTTCTTAATGTACGGGGCGATACCGCGCATGAAATACTTCTGCCATAAACTGAGTGCTCGTTCGCTCATAAAATAATGTTTCTTGTCCTGCCTCCTGCCGTCTCTTTATGCAGACTGCGACCACGGCTTCACAGGTTCGGCATCTTCGGGCTCTTCGTCACTCCAGTCGTCCAGTGAAGGAAATAGTGGGGCAGCGCGCACAGCGTACACAGGGCGCGATTGGCTGATCTTCGGAGGCGACGACAATTGCCTGTATAAAGCGAGCAAGCAAGAGAGAATGAGTCACTTCCGTTCAATGGCTGCCCGAGTAAGCATACCTAGGCCATACCGGATCTTCCTCGGCGGAGTCATCATGCCATCGGTGTCCTTCGGGCTGTGGATGTCTGCGAGCTCAGAGTGACCAGCCATTTTTGATGTTCTTGTCGGTTGGTTGCTTTTTCGAGAGTGACCGTCCGAGACAGGTTCTCTGTAAATTCGACGATCCTTTCCACTTTTTTCTCGAAACATAACGCGCCAGACATGCGAATCCGCAGCACGACCACCAGATGTGCGCCCAGGCAGCTCGTATCCGCGAACGGCACTGCTTTCCTCGGAAACACAACTGCGCCGCGACCTGATGGCACTGTGCGGTAGGAACGTCAGCTCAATTTAGCTGCACTTTGGCCTTAGTGTCTCTTTATATCATAAGGTCGACCACCAAAGGTCTCTTCAATTCATTTTTCCAGTCGAACACTACAGCTGCCTCTGATTCCTACGCCTGCTTGCGGGACTTGGTCAAAGCGAACAGCTTGTCCAGCTCAGCTGAGCTCAAATTCTCCTTCATCCTGGCCGTATAATACTAGTTAGCACAGTCTCATTCTGTTGAAAGCTGGACAGCAGCTAACTTACCAAGCTAGCGTCGCAGTCGGAATAAAGTCCGTAAAGGGCAACAGCTCCTCCAAGAAGGCCACGTACTTCACACGTGGCGACGACTCCTTGTAAAGCGTGTCCACCATTCTTGCCGAAACGGGCGCCCACAGCACGTCCGCCACCTCGCCCAATCCTGGTACCACAAAAGTCGCATTTCCTAGAAAATCAATGGCAAGACTCGCCACCAGCTTGCGCGACGGACTCTCGAGCACATATTCTCTCGCACGAGCCGACAGGGCAGAGGTTGACAGCGACTCTTCTCCAGGCATGCCCTCAAACAGCAGCAACTGGCCTTGCTGACTGGTCAAAAAGTGCTGACACGCATCCTTTACTCGTTTCGAGCGCACAAGCTTCACCGTTAAGATCGCCGAGATGGTAGAAAACATTGTGACAAACGTCATCGCGACGCCAACAACGATCCAGACGGGGAAGCCCATCACGCCCACGAGTACTGTCAGTGGCAGCCAAACTGGAGAAGTCCCCACGACACCTACGACGCAGCCTACCACTGCTGGCAGCAACCCGACCACAGCTTTATTCTTATGCAGAGCCAACTGGTTGTAGCACATTAATAAGCACCACCATCGGCTCACCGGCCCATCATTAGTCAGTCGCCTACACAACAACAGCAAACCAACGGTACCAACCTGATGGGCGACATTCCTCGCCCCATTCTTGATGGCTACCGCGTGGCTGATCAGCGCTCTGGGGCGTCGGTCAGTTTTCACGTAGACGTGAATACCTACGTCCCAAAGTATCTAAAGCACCAGCAGACATAGTCTTAGTGACTACTACAAGTCTACTTGTACCTGCCAAAGTTTAACGGCACGAACGTCATTGTGCAATACTGGCTGCGTCCAATGGATAGAGCCGTCGGCCAGCACGGGAATGCATTCACGCAGCTTTAGCGCGTGCGTCCCGACCAGATCATCGCCGTCTAGCAGTTTGAACGTCACATGCTGGTCCAGCAACGACACCTTGTTCTTAGTCGTCAACTCTTCTGCCGGAATGGATATATTGCAGGGCAGCGGCGTCCCTTCGCCCTTCTTTTCGGCGAATGGCACTATTACCATCAGCCGCGTAGCTTGCGGTGCTCGTGGGGCCTCCACCTGCTTCTCGGGTGGGTTAGCCAGCCACAGCACCTCGGCCTTCTCTAGCAAGAGCTCCATGCGTGTCAATTCTCACGTTGAAGCAAACTGACCAGTGAGCGTGGCACATTTCGATTTTTCCATTTTCATCCAATCCGATCTTTTGGTCTGCACGCTGATTCGTCGAAAATGTTTGAGTTGCCACTCCAGTTTGACATCCAGAAGCTGTCAATGGAGGACTGGCAAGAAGACCCGACCCTCGCGTCCGTGCAGGAGCCTGCGCGTGCGTCCTTTGAAGCCACCTTCCCGCTCTACTGACAACACTACTAACTCGACGTGTATGTTGGCTATTTGAATATCTCTTTTTCAGAGCTGCAGCGGCCCCACTGTGATCAATGCCACATCGCCATTGCCGACTACGAGTGTCAGCGCTGCATCCAGCGATTCTGCAGACAGTGCGAGCTGGTGATCCACCACCGATTGGCGGAGATGGCTATCAAGCATGAAGAGAGCAAGAGCGACGGAAGGCCGCACCAGGAGTTCCTCAAATGGATCAGCGGTGCGTAGACAATAGCTGCACAAGTTGATGCAGGGTAAACTGACACTTCTATGGTCGTTATGTAGCTTGCGAGGAATGTGGTCAAAACACACAGGAATTCTTCTGTCTGAACTGCAGCATGTATCAATGTGAGAATTGCTGTGCGGCCAAGCACCGTCAGTTGGAGCCACATTTCTTTTTCTGTGTCGAAGGTAAGAAATACCACGGAGCAGAGCTGTATCGCAGAGTATTAACCAGTTTCATGTGCAATATGACACAGGGTCGTCGCCAAAGATGTTCCCATTCGCAAGCTGGAACTTGGTGTTTGTGGAGATGGTAAAGATGTGCAAGGGAGACCTTCAGGACCAAGTTGTTACCGCTGAGGCTTCGATAGCTCTACCCAGTAACGAGGAGCCAGAAGCGAAGTACAGTACTACCGTAGCAGGCCATATTAAACTGGAAAAGGCCACAACTGCCGCCACCGCGGCGGCACTGGGGAACTTGTCAATTAATGGATCCGCTGCGACGCAGAGCCAAGCGAAACATTCGTCGCGAGTCAACAGCACATCGATCGTCGACCTGACACTTGACGACGAAAGTGATGCGAGCACAGGTAGCTCATCATATCGCCGAGCGCCTCAATCTCAGCCACAAATTAAGGAAGAGTTCCGAGTGAAGACTGAAAGCACGTGGCTGGCTTCAGCCACCGCTGCTCAACAGAACCTGGTGCTGGACGTGGACCAACTGATGGAGAATGCCATGGGAGAAGAAGACGACACAATTTTACGCTCCATGATTGGCGATTATAATACGCTCAGTGCCAAGATCTTCGAGATCGACCAGGAAACCGACCGCGTCAAGAAGAAAACCAAAGAGCTGACCAATATCAAACCGATTAATATGCAGGAGGTGCAAAAAACTCGCGCTGCCACATTGAAGCTCCGCAAAGACAAGACGGAAGCCGAGAAGGCTCGAGATGGAGTAGTGGCCAACATTGTTGTCTATGTACAGCCTGACCCAGAAGAGATGACGGCATTTCTCCAGACATGCACCGCGGATGTGCCTACTGCGCAAGCAGCAATCCACCGGAAGTGTGCCTCGCTAGAAGCGAGTATCCGGACCAAGTTGGAGGAGCTTCAGAGGACGCGTCAGCAACTGGAGGAGCTGATTGGACTAAAGAAGGACGCTCTCGCAGAGGTCACTCGTCTTGGAGCTGAAGTTGCACAGGGAGAAGAAGAGATTCGCAAACTGGACAAGGAACGACAAGACGAGTTCTTGACGCTATGTCAATATAGCAAGACAATCCAAACTGCTGTCCGGGAAGCAGCAGGAAACATCTAACGCTTTTTGGTGATTAGGACTCGACGGCAGCTTGTTAGCGACATCAACGTGTGGCAGTCAATTGTAGTTTTTTTTTGCAAAACTGGTACTTAAGCCATCCAAAACCTTTTTATCTAACCATTCGAAGTATACTCGTCTCCCTTCCCTTTTTCTAAATGACTGGCATTGTTGAGGCGTTGTCGTCATGGAGATTGACTGATGAACGCTCGCAAAACAGCAGTGAGCAGTAGCTCTAGCAACGTTGCACTCCTACACTAGTGGATCAAAATGGATCAAACAGATTCACGTTCTTGTCACTGTGGACGCCCGTGGGACTTCACTCGAGTGATACATGTACTGTACCAACGTCGGCGTCATGAAACGAATGACGAAAGCTCTACATAGTTCACCACATCGTCGTGATCACACCTGCAGCTGACAAGAAGCGTGTCCAATTTGCTGTTGATTTGGCTTTTGTAAGGAGGAAAATATAAAGTTGTAGAGGGGTAGGTCTAATCTAGTTTCTGTTTGAACTTGGCAAAGAGAAAAAGTAGCTCTCCAAGCTCGCAGCTCGCCGGGACCGCGTCGTCGCAAGCGTCGGATTCTCCACTCACTCATCTCGCCGGCAGTATTGCCCTGCGCTCATTGTAGATCCTGTTGTCGACTGCAAGCTCCTCAGTCACCATGAGCACATGCATGTCCCAAACACAGACACTGGGACGCGTCTATTCGTACGCGCTACGCTCGCTGTCCGACACCAAAGACACTGTACGATGGGGGTCTGTCAAATCTGATCCCACAGCTCCTCTAAATATATGTTGATGCAGCTGATTCTGGTCTGCATCGGCCTGTTGGAGGCACTTGACCGCCTGCAAGAGCGTCTGCATCTGCCCACGTCGATTGTCAAAGAGCTCAAGCATCGGCTGGCTAAGATGGTGACGCGCTCGTCCGTAAGACTCAAGACCAAGTACCCGAGCGACCACCAGCTAGGTGACACCGTGGCCGATAGCCAAGTTTGGGACGCTGCAAAGCCCGAAGAAGTGCGAGGTGTCGTGCACTGGGTGCTGGCAGTCACCTCATCGCTGCAGAAACTCGTGGTCAGCGCCTCACTTGGCGTGTGTCAAGGCATCTACGTGCTGATCATGAGTCTACCAGGGGTATCAACGGCTTGCTCGCTGTTCTATGGGTTGCTACAGGCAGTAGAGGATACACTGAGATTATCCAGTGAAGAGATCATGGAGGCTGCGTCCGCAGAAGGTTCAGGCTCTGGAAGCGGACGCAGCCGAAGTTATCACCATTTACATCACCGGCATCATCGCAACGCTGAGAGTTACGTGGCTGATCCGAGCTGTACGTTGCATTGCATTGATGAGTATAGTTTTGATGAGGTTATAATGAGTGATGTATCTTGTTCGATTAGTAACGGCGGTGGTGTTGGAGTACAAGGAGAAAGAGTGCATGGTACCGTCCAATATCGATCGGAGGATACGACGCGTCATGCATTTTCAGATCCCGCTGCATTCGTTTGAGGCTACAGTACGATTACCGCCTGATAACGTGCAAACCGCGTCTTCCAGTAGATCAACCACCGACGACAGCATTGGTGGCAGTAATCAAAGCCGAGCCCAGGACGAGACAACTTCAAGCTATACTCACCTGAGTTCCGCGACGCCGCGGTCCATTCCCGTGTCGCCTTTGGCGCGCAAGCGTGTGCAGCTGGCATTCTCTAATTTCTCAGACGACGTACTATATCAAGCACGCGATCGACTACGACAGGAGCGTGCGGCGACGTTAACCGGTGATCAGGGTCTCCGTGTGCCACGATTTAATGCACACGATTGTCACGAAGACATATATTTATCCTGTGGCCGCCACTGTGCGTCCAAGGCTGGCACAGGCATGTACCGCAGTGTGCGCGCTTCTGTACCGCTTCAGAAGAATCGGTTTGTGTACTTTGAGATGACGTTGCAGCAAGGACGGACACCAGCTCGTGGCACGAACCAGAGTTCTTCGAGGGTAGAGACGTTGTCTCAAGCAGCACGTGGGTCATCTTCTCTGCTGGCCAATGTAGGGAACCCAAACGACCGCGCTGGAATTGATGCAAGCGTCTGTATCGGGCTGTCTACACGTCTGATGCCTTTAAACACCCTCGTTGGAGCGTCGAAGTATTCGGTAGGTGGATATTTCCGTGGCTGATGGGTAGTAAGTAGGCTTGCGCTAACTCTGCCTTTGCTGATGTTTACTGATATAGATAGGATTCTATTCTGCTGGTCACGTGCTCGTCGGTACGGAGAGACGGCGTTCCATTGGAGTTGGTCGAAAGTATGGCTTCCAGTCTACAGTTGGGGTGCTGGCCCAGGTAGTTGATCACCAGGAGGATGAAGCCACAGATGCATCGGCATCCGATTCTTCGTCCTCGACGGCCTCTGGCGGTGCTGGATCATCCATTGGCGAAGCATTTGTGCGCTTCACTGTCGACGGAATTGCGCTTCGGGACAGTAATAATCGCGTGATGGAGTTCACTTTACCGTTCCCTTCCAGGAGCGAGCTGTACCCGACGTTGACACTTCATTCGCAGGACGTGCACGTATTCAGTCAGATGTCGGCACCCGATATCAGCAGCTTAAACTTACAAGAGCTGGATTTACCCGTAGAAGCACCTGTCGATATCTGGTGTCTCGACGGCTTGTGCCTCGGCGTTGCGGCTTAGAACTGTCAAGCTTCATACAGGCATGATGTCGATTGTATCCATTTTCCCTGAAATTGTTCGGCTACGAAGGAATCACTAACAGGAGAACCAAGACTAATGAGACTCGCAAGCTCGTTTGCTAGATTTCGTAAGTCCCTCCTCCTTACCTGTCTGTGTGGTACTACAGACTGTACTTTCCGTATTTGTCGCCGCCCAGACCGACCTGCATCGTGGTTTCGTCCAAGATGCGTTGCAGTTCTCGCCTGGCGTCGATAACCGAAGCTTGAGTCGGGCCCTCGATAGCCTACACAGCACAAATGTTAACATATCGATAAACTAGTTTGTCTAGGGTTTGACGTACCAAGTGAAGCTTGCGTTCCGATGGATTGGGCTTCCGGCCAGCAGGAATATACGACCCTCTCGCGATAACAGCAGCACCAGTGAGTTCTGCGACCGAGTCGCTTGCCTCCTTCTGGGTAACTCGCCATCGAGCCTGTTGAGGATAGTCGTTGATTTCGAGCTCTTCGACAAAGTGGTTCTCTCCAGAACCGGTTCCCCTGTACTTTAAATCCAGATTCTGGATGATTTTCTGTGCCTTGATGAAAGCAGACATCGCTCCACTGTCGATAGGCATCGTCTTCTGACCAGCGGGCGCAAACTGCTTTTCAGTCGTGCTAGTGCTAGCAATATTCTCCTTGCTTGGCTCTTCCATATCATCGTCATCGACTGCACCAGAATCCTACGAGCATCGGAGCAAAAATTAGCGTCAGTACCAGCTTGGTGGGTCAGATGGATCGCGATAGTGCCGTTCGTACCTCAACCAAAATGCCCTGGTCCAATTCATATTGACGCCTCTGCAGGTCTGCTGTGCGCTGGGTCTCGTTCCTTTCTGTCTCGTCGAATGTAAAGCCTTTGCCTTTAAACCCACTGCCGTGATACCTCGCCTCACCGCGCTTGACCTTTACAATCACGAGTAAATAGATGTCAGTTTTTAGATCAGTTCGAAGATGCGCTGATATATATAATACCTTTGCCGTGAAGCCTTCTGCAAGTGCGGTCAGTTCAGGAGGAATAGTTTGCTTTGCGTTCTCCAATGCTTTGACAAGATCCACCGAGTACTCCTCCTCCTGCAAGTACAAGAACATGTTAAGTACTCAATTTGTGTCCTTACAACAATAACATTTTGGCAGAACGTACATCTGGAGAGATGAACGTGTAGGCTGTACCCTTTCGACCAGCTCGTCCGGTTCGTCCAACGCGGTGGACGTAGTCTTCCATATGGTTGGGACAGTGGTAATTGATAACAAGAACCAAATCCTTCACGTCAAGACCTCGACCGGCGACAGAAGTCGCCACCATCACGGTTCGCACCTTGCGTTTGAAGTCATCGATTGTATAGTCCCGATCCACCTGATCTTTGCCACCTGTATCATTCACAGAGCACCAAGTATTAGCATTGATTCAGCGGGAAGAAACGGCCAGACGCGTGTCGTACCGTGCAGCGAGAGCGCAGGATATCCAGCCTTCATCAAGTCTTGGAATATCTGGTCGCAAGCTTGCTGTTTGTTCACGAACACTAGGATATTTCCCTTCTCGTACCAAAGACCCAGAAGTTGCAGGAGCCGCATAAACTTGTCATCTTCTTCGCGGACTTCTACATACTGCGTAATATCGCCTGATGCCGTACTACGTGTACCCACAGTGATCTCCACCGGCTTCTTCAGTACTTTCCGGGCCAAGGATTCCACAGAGCGAGGGAAAGTTGCTGAGAAGAGCAGCGTCTGTCGGTCTGGGCGAATGTTCATCATAATCTTCGTGATCTGCGGTTCGAAGCCCATGTCGAACATACGATCAGCTTCATCTAGCACCACATACGTCACACGCTGCAGTGACACCATCTTTCCAGCACTCATGCACAGGATATCGATCATTCGCCCTGGCGTGCAGATAACGATATCTGAGCCGCGTTTCAGGTTCGCAATTTGCTCCGAGACTGACGATCCTCCGTACACAGCAGTAGCGCGCAGTCCAAGACCCTTCGAGAACTTACGAGCCTCCACGTAAATCTGCTGAGCAAGTTCTCGCGCAGGTGCCATGATGATTCCAATGGGGCCTTCGTTTTCTTGGAGGGGAGGTTGAGCAAGAACGTGACGGAACATGGGGAGCAGGAACGCCAACGTCTTGCCTGAACCTGTTTTCGCAATGCCAATGACATCACGTCCAGACATAATAGCAGGTAGCGCTTGCTTCTGGATAGCAAACGGCTCCTCGTAGCCGTGTTTTTTGATCAGCTGGAGCATGCGGACGCTGAAGCCACATTGGGTCCATTTCTGCAACGGACGCGGGCAATTCTTTCCTCGAACCTTCATCTCAGCCACCTTCCGTTGTGCTTCCACCTCTTCATCCGACAGATCCTTGATTTCCTTAGGCACCACGTAAAACTTCTTTTGGAACGAAATATAGTTCATCTTGGAGTGATCCACAGGCTTGATCTCCTTCTTCTTCTGCTGATCCTGAAGAATCTCGAGAGCTGAACGCTGATCCATCAGCTCGGAGTCTTCGCCGATAATGTCTTCTTCAAACCCTTGGTAGATACGCCCCGTATCTTTTTTCTTTACCAACGGATCTTCAGGATCTGCTCCATTGCTTGCAGCTGTTGTATTACTAGAAGCCTTGGTCTCTTGTTCGCGTTTCTCTTTAATTGCACGCATAAACTCCTTCAGTTCACGCTCTTCACGGGCTTCACGTTCTTCTGGCGTCTCCTTGTCAACATTAGTCGTCGTTTGAGTAGCAGCAGAGGGTGTCGACACGACTGCACCCGCCTGATCTGCAGCTTCAGGCGGCAAGAATGTGCCATAAATATTGATTTTGCCCTTGGCTTCGATTTCCGACTGCGAGATCACGTTAGCTGCAGGGTTAGCACGCGCTGATTCGTCCACCAGTCCAGCCATATAGGCGTCCAGAGGATCCACTTCCTCCACCACTTTCTGCACCCGTTCGCGTTGCCTGGCTTCCTCTTGCTCTCGCTTTTTACGTTCTTCTGCTGTTTCACCCTTCTCTTCATCTTCTTCTGTGTGTAAATCCAGTTGCTTGGGCACAGCATCTTCTTCTGCAAGGAACTTGGCTTTCTCTTCTTCTTTCTGCTCTTCAAGAAGAAGTTTATGTTTCTTACTAGGATCTTTCTCGCCATTAGGTGGCGGGTTGGTATCTTCACTCAGTGCGCTAAATAAAACTGCAGGCTTCTTCTTCACCACGTTCTTCGCGTTGCCAGGCTTTAGCGAAATGCCGCCAAACTTAAATTTCTTCAACGTCGCACCAGCTACTGGTGCAGTGACGACAGGGGGATCTGTAGCTACTCTCTTCTTCTCAGAGCTAGAGCCACTACTCTTCTCTTGTGGTTTCGCGTGCTCAACGTGGCCATTGGCCTTACGCTTCTCATCGTTCTTAATCTCCTCCTTAGACTCCGATCGCTTTCGTCTCGAAGCTTCAGCTCTCGTCTCGCTCCTGCTTCTACTGCGTCTGCTGCTACTCTTGCGTCCGCCCCTGTGGCTTCTGTCTCTCTTCTTCTTGGAGCTACTACGTCTGCTCTCTGAGCGACTTCTAGAGCGCGAGCGTGAAGGCGAACGACGTCGTTCCCTCCGCTCCGTCTTGGAGCGTTTGCGGCGGTGTCTGTCGCCAGATTTGGACGAGCGGCGTCGCTCCCGAGATCGCGAACTGGAGCGAGACGCGCCGCTCGACGCACTATGCGACGACAGCGAGCGCGAGCGCGAGCGTTTGCGACGAGATGATGACGAGTGGCGACGCGATGAGCGACTTTTACTGCGCCGCCGCCGATGGCGACGGGGACTCGCGGCGTCTTGCGCCATCTAGACGAAAAAAGGAAAATGAATCCGTGGCTAGCACTTTGAAGGACGGTTTTCTTATGGTTTGATTGGAAGATAAGGAGACGAGAGCCAACGCGGATTGGAGCAAAATGAGTACAGGACCAAGAAAATGATGTGGCGAGGTTTAAGACAAAAGTGGACACTATCCTTTTTAGAAGTAGAGATATTCTTTCCGCTTGCGTTTGGAGAAGATGATGGCGCCGAACATGAGCGAGTCGTAGTGAGGGAAATCGTTCGAGTTAGGCAGGTGGCCGATCTCCCCGAACGTTGTCATGCCCATCAACGAAGCCCCACCCGACCAGTCTTTATACGCTCCAACCTGCGAGTACGACAAAAAAACTTGCTGTTAGGAATACCAAATGCAAGTGTACACAACCATCGCCATGTACCATCTCAGCCATGCTCTTGTGGCCCAGCAGAGCTTGGACTCCGGCCGACAAGAACATCAGACAACCGATCGTCTCGTGAATGTAGAACTTGTTGCTTTCCACGGCTTGCGCTCCCATCTAAACCATTGAAAAGAGACGTCAGATCTTGCCGATAAGTGCAGTCTGCAGATACAAACCTTGTTGATTGCAGTTTTCAATGACTGCGCAGATGTCTCCATGAGCACAACGTTGGTACCGGACGCAACTGAACTCGTCGTACTAAGCGATCCGTCCTCATTGATTCCAGTAATCACCGCGGTCATGTTGATGAGTTTGGACCAGTCGCTTGATTGCATGGAGCACAGCGAAGAAGAAGAGTTCGCGTCGATGCTACGGTCTATCTCCATTTGATTTGAGACGAAGTCGATGGTGGTACCTAAAGGGTGCAGACTACCGAGTCGAGGAAACCCGATCGACGAGAGCTCAGTTTGACTCTTGTCTGATGCCACGTCGAGCCACTGCAGCAGCAAGAGAATACTGGTTAGTAGTTGGCAATGTTTACAGTATACATACCGGTATAGGAATTTACCTCTTGGTAGACTTCGGCCGCAGGTTTGCAGTCAATTTCGTAGATGGTCTTGTTTGACGCCTTCGTCACCGTGCCCATGCAGTACTCGCTATTAACTCCAACCGGACTGTAGCCACTAAACCAGCTCACATACGTCTCCACGCTGGGGAAGCAGAGCGCAAACGCGATGCCCATTTCAGTCCAGTCACCTCGTCCGTCCCGGACACTTTTCGTGTAATCAGAACTGCTGCTACTGCTGATCTGGATCCAGGACACTGATACTTCACCCTCACCATGTCTCGTAGCGTCTGAAGAGCAGCCTCCAATAATTGGACAGTGAATCGCCTCGCGGATACCGTCAATAGCATGCTCTACAAACAGAGGACAAGCGTACGCAGCAATGAACGCTGGTTTTTCACCGGCATCAACATCACCTGCCACGCGGGCAAAGGCAGTCTTAGCTGCAGCGTATGTCTTCTCATGGGCATCACTCTGCGAATACTCTGCGTGGACTACGGAGTAAATCCCATGCGGATCATTTACTCCCCACAAAGTAACGAGGCCTTCATCGTTATGTCTGTTCACAGACACCCAAGCATTTTCGTCACACATCCCACGAGCGATCGTGCCGCCAATATAGGGAACTCCTGGAGCTAGCTGGCGCAAAAGGTTCACAATCACTTCGGCGTTGAAGCCAGTTGAGAAGCCAACAACTACAAAATGGACATCACCTCCGAGCTTTGTCATCAGTTCTTGAAAGGCTCCAGTCATAGCGAGAGCTTCTGTCTTGTTTGTTGCCCACGCCGAAGCTGCATGGACGTAACTAGTATTGTTCTGCACCGGGAGTCTCTCCATCGAGTTGGAACGCCGCTCTGTTTCTTCCTGGTTATCATGAGTTGGTGGGGCCGTTTGCTTCACAGGGTTTGCTACTGGAGCACGACGACCAGCACTGGACGAGCGACTTCTATCAGGGTTTTTCTTGGGAGCTGCCTTGGCGATGCTCAGTGGGTTATCTCGACCATGACCGGTTGCGCGTTCAATACTGACTTCCGAGTGTCGATCGACGTACACGACTGCATAGTGCTTGGACGCCACGTTGCATGCCTGCTCAGCCGTAGCTGTGGCGCTGTGGACAACTGCACTGTTGCTCTGATGACCGCTGTCTTCCCAGTCAGATATTTGCTCCGATGACGTCACTTAGATTCGAATCCGCGGTCGCCACTGTCGATACGACGTCAAGAGTTTCTGGACCAGCTCGCGGTGATTGGTTCGCAGGGTCGGTTGTCTCCCTCCTCCTTACTCTATCTTCTTAACTGTTATCTCAAGCTGATTCAGAGCTGATACTTGTCGAGGCATTCGTCTCCTCCTCTCGAAACAGGGACTCGTTCGCGTATGTACATCATCGAGGGTTTTCCAGTCGCTCCTGAGTAGGTGCTTGTGAAGCTGCGAAGGCACTGGTGCAGGCGAAGGTGCTGCGTAGTGTCCTGTCTCAGCACCGACAGCAAGTTGCTGCTGCTCAGTGCTGCGTTGAATCCAATCCTTGAAATCCTCCTGGTTACTCAGCTCCCTGCCGCTCTTTGACCGATGATGGGACACCACACATTTACTGCACACACGGATACTCGGTTGGTGACGCGATAGAACCTGCTTACCTGTATCATTGTGCGTGAAGCTAATCGAAGGCACGCGGATAGTACTACTACACGCCCAGCAGATCACTTCGCCGCAAGTCCGGCAGTGATGACGACGACGGAAGATCGGCGAAAAGCGCTTGTTACACAGCACGCAGAAGCGGCGTTCTCTGTGTCAATGTAAGGTGGTTAACATGTGCTCAGTAAAGCTAGAAAGCGATCCCAATAGGTAGTATAACGTACTTGTCTTTCACCCAAGCAGAAGTCTTGACGACCGATATTTCTTGAAGCTCAGGAGGATCCTCGAGCAAGTCACGTAGTCCGCGCGCAAGCTGCGTGACCATTTCGACAGCAGGATTGCTGCGGAACAAGCTGACCATAGGTGGAGGCCGCTGGAAAGCGATAGAAATCGTGACAAAATCATCCTTGTAATCTGGCGACGACGTGCGCTCGAACTTGCAGATAAGAGCATCAAATTGCGAGCGCTCCAGATTGTTCCCCTGGATGTGAGGCATCCCGCCCACCTCCGCCAGCGATTCCTGGAAGAGATAGCATGCCACGATATCTCCACCGGATGTCTCGATGCCAATATACTGTCAAATCAACCACAAACAATGAACATATCGTCAGTGGATCACATCCTGACGTCCATGTGGCTAGCACTGGCTGAAATATAGAAGAAGAGCACCAGAAACAGGCCACACACAGCAACCACCTTACCTCCAACACGTAAAAGTCGGAAGACTTACTTGCCAGGGAGCCTGACTTGATGGCCCACCACTTAATGGCGGCCTGCTTGTACATTTCACGAGCGTCTCGAGGTGGGTTGGCACTCGGATAGACTCCAGTGCCATTGAGATCTTCGAGCACTTCTGCATCTAGGAACATGTCGCCCAACACTTTGCGCATGAAGAGCTTGAACTTGTCGGATGTTTTCAGATCGTAGATCGTCTTTAGTACATTCGGGAAGGCCGCGTTTGCGAACACAACAGCCTTGGCTGAGACTGACTCGGACCAATCCGAGCTGGGCTTGTACACGCCGATGTCGTTCTTGCAGTCGTGCACCTTCCAGAGCGCGCTGCTCGTGTCGGACAGCAAGCCGAGGCACGAGCGAGCACGGTTTTCAGCGTATTTATGCAGACGGATCTTGCGCTCGTACGAGAGTGACGGTCCCTGTGGCGGCGGAATACTTTCGTCTTCCTGCGAGTTCGAGTTGTCGGCCGAGTCGCTCCAGTCCGCCGCGTTGGCTGCCGCAGCGGCCACCTCATTTGCGGGGTCGGGGGCTGCAGTCGCATTATTTGTTGCCGCTGCTGGCGGCCCAGCGCCTTGGTTCATTCTGTTGCCTGGTGAAGATGTATTGATATCCTGTCGCTGCTGCGGCCTGCGTGTGACGAAGCTACCGACAAACGATCAGACCAGATGGGATGGATACTTGACGTCGCCTCGTGCGCACGATAGCTTCTTGGCGACGGCGGAGACTACTGCAGTCTGCAGTGCAGACGGGAGAGCCAAGTGGGAGGGATGCAAACCTCAATAACGCAAGGAAGAGAAAGAAGCTGTCGAGCTCGAGACGCGTTCTGCCCAATGGCGCTGTCCTCAAGCAAGCTTGTATTCCGGTCACTTTCCATGAACGTTTCACGGACAAACGATGTACCACAGTCTGTGGCGCACACCAAGTTTTTCTAGACGCCACATTGGCTCAAATTTTTGACCAATCCACAGAGGTCGACTAGCGCGACGCTTGAAGGTACTTAATCGTCTCGTCGACAGGAGCGTGCCAGACGCGACTTGCTGCAATCTACCTAATCACTATGCAAGTTGCAAGAATGCCATCACTTTCGCACTATAATGGGTGTGTCGTTGTCTCCTTCTGCGGCGAACCTCATGACGGACGATCTCGTCCACTACGTCGCCGGCTTCCTGTCGCCTTCCGACCTCATGGCAGCCATGTGCGTAGTGTAACTCCTCCGTTCTCCGACCCCAATTACGGCACAGCTGAACCCAACGTTTCTTCTTCTAGCCAAGTGAATTCGTGGTGGAGCACCGTGTGCGCTAGCGACGTAATATGGCGTCAACTCTGCGTCTCTCGCTGGATGATCTCGCGTCCCGAGCGTCTTAAACGTAGCACCGGAACCACTAGCTTCTTGGAGCTGTATATGTACCTCGACCGCGCACGATATCTACCACGCGGTAAATTCACCACCAAGGTAAACGTACTGCCCCTAAGAGTAGAAAAACAACAGAGTTAATGATCTTTTTTTATTTTTCTTGCAGCACCAAATCGTGTGGGGCCGCGGTCGAGACGAAGGTGCTGACGTGTGGATGACGGTAGCGCACAGCTCCAATTGCCAAGTGCTATCGACCGCCGGGACGTCTTACATTCAACTGCGAGTAGTGGTACAGAATCTGCGCCCTCAACCGCTGACAGTCGACTTGCAGGACCTTGAAATTCGCATGAAAGGAGGTAGCGAGGGGACGATCTTCGGTGTCGGGCCAATTGCCAACCAGCCGAGAGCTGAAGCTGCAGATACTGCGCGGATTAAACAGTTGGCGCCGGTTGTGCTGGCCATTAATGGAGTCGACGTGTATCCATCGCTGACGAGCCAGTTGATTGAGCTGGAGATGTTCGGCTTTGCCGTACTAGCAGTCAACGTCGTGTGCAACGGATGCGAATTCGAGCCCGACTTTTTGGAGTCTTGCAGTGCACTTTGGGTGCCAATTCTTCGGATGGGAAGATGCACTTCGCTGAGCTTGTGTCGCTGCGGGTTAATTTCAGACAGCTACCATCGTGGCATCATCCGCGTGCCGGTGGTGGACGAGTCCGTGATTTGGCGGCATTACGACCTGGTGTCGAATCGATTTATGGTGCGTTTTACTTTAATTGCCAAATCTTGCTAAGTCTGCTGCTGCACGAGTGCTGATTTTCCTGTTGTTGCAGGTGCTGAATACCCAGTCAATCGAAGACGTTGATCAGTTCAGTAATTTATTGGGCTCACCTGTCAGCCATTTTTCCAAGCGGAAGCGCATCATTTCATAAGAATGCAAGACTGAGAAGTGACAGGAGAGAGAAAATAGTGAGGGTACTGCTAAGTATTTGTAAATCCAAAAAGGTTATATATTTCCCTGCAATGTCCATGCTTAAAGCATATTATGCGATCCAACCGCTCACAGCGGCGACGTGCCTCTTCGCATCGTTTTTAAGAATCGACTAGCTTACCCAAGATGTCTACGTCCGAAGACAACGAAAAGGACATTGCGCCTGCGGCTGATGCCTCGGCGAAGAAGGCAGCAAAGAGCCCATGGCTTTCAGCATACCACAACTCTGTTGCCGGCATTAAAGCTGGGTCTAACTGCATGCAATTGGTGGACGTCTATGGCGACGGTGATGCGAAATTCGTGGTTGCTGATGGAGATCAGAGGCTCAAGATGTACAAAGGTAATTGTACAGCGGCCTCCGATATTACCTCAGCGTAAGTCTTACAGTTATCTTCATCTGCCTTCATTAGGTTCGGCACTCTATGGGGAGCAAGCGATCCTTGGAGTACCATCAGCCTTGAGCTACTTCTACTCAGGTACGCTAGCACGAATAGATTGAGTTTTTTAAAGTCCCAAACTAACTCAATTACTCTGGGGCCGTGCACAGATAACAATCGACCACGGATTCCAGCAATTGCAGTTGCATCAGGCCCATACATCTTCATCTATCGGAATTTTCGCCCCCACTACAAGTTCACAGTGCCGTCCATCGAAATCGACGCCCAGGAGACAAAACTGTGGGAGGCACTCACGAAGTGCACGATCGAGGTCCCCGACGCACTCACTCAACTTTCAACCATGCGGTAAGTTATTTTCTCTATGTAAACTGCTGTCTTGGACACTAAGAATCTTGTGTAGTGGTTTGGGCATTCGCTTGTCCGAGCGTTCGCGAGGTCTGCTGGCAATCGACAACATTGAAGAACAAGCGGAATATGTGTCGAGGTTTATGGACGACCCACTTGTTGAGCGCTCTTGCGTGACTTGCATGACGTCGATCAACAAGAATATGGACGACAAAGATGCAGTCAGCTGGTACGTGTGGGCTTAAAAGGATTAGACGGCTCGTCAAAAGCTCAAACTCATTTTATCTTGTTTGTATACGACCAGTCTTGTCGTTGCAACTGAGAGCTGCATGGTGTATGTCCTGGATCCTCAGGGCACGTCCCTCATCCAACAGATAAAAGTTCCTGGTGTACCCGTGGAAATCGTTGCTGTCGGACTACTGGAGGTCGAATGCCGACTAGTTATCACGACACGCAACGGCTCTGTGTACATGATTAAGAATGGAGAGTTGCTGAAGTCAGTGATTGAGTTGGAGTCACCTGCGTGTGGCCTCGTTCAGCTAGAGAAAAGCATCGTCATTGCGTCCATGAGTCGGAAGCTGACGTCCTACCATCTTAAAGGCAAGAAGAACTGGAGTCTTACCATGAGCGACGACATTGTAGCTCTCGAAGCCTTCAGTCTACGACGTACGAAGGATACGCGGGGTGTTCTTGTGGCGTTGCGCAATGGCGAAGTGACACTGTACAATGAGAAAGTCAAGGTGTGCACGTTGAACACGGAGACAGTTCTTACAGGAATGCGTTTTGGTCAATACGGACGCGAGGAAGCCTCGCTTGTTCTCGTCCAAAAGAGTGGTGCTCTGTCGCTCAAGATCCTGAAGCGCACAGCCAGCTTGGAAGCGATCTCAGAGGCGGCTGGACCCCCTCCGGAGCAAGGTAAGTCTTACAGTATTTCTAACGCTCAATGCGGTCTCAGAAATAGCTGTCCTGTGTAGATATTCCGCTGAACATCCCGAAGAAGACGACTTTGTATGTCGAGCAAACTCAACGCGAACGAGACCACGCCACTGAAATGCACCGCCACTTTCAGCGTGATTTGTGCAAGTTGCGTTTAACCACAGCTCGCGCTTACGTCAAGATCATTAAAGACGGACAGGTATGAAGACTCTATTTTTCATAAGCGCAATGACGCTGACATTACCGTGTTCTCAGGGCCCTGTGTCATACTCGACGGGCGCAGCGATTCGCTTAAACGCTCAGGTGCAGGGAATCGGCCCATTCTTCCGAATCAAGCTAAATGTGCAGGTACGTTTCTCAACCTTGCAGCATTAACTGTCTGAACAATATTAATCCGTGCTGGCGCCTTTTCCAGAATGCCGGAACGAAAGCTGTGACCGATATCACGGTTGCTTTCCACTACGATCACGAGTTGTATCGTGTCGAGCAGAGCCTGGTGCTCATCCCGCTCGTGATTCCGGTGAGTTTGATTATCTCGCTTTTGCTATTTGATGCTTACGCCTCGCTGTGTATTATGCCAAGAACATTCAATATCAGTACGCTGTAGACGTGGAGAGCATCTCGGAGCTTGGTGCTGCCGACAATGTGTCCATTTTCGTTTGCGGCAAGGAGAGGTAAACAAATGTACTCTGAAATCGAATCGCACCAATGTAGCTAACGTGGACCGTTGTTAATGCTTGGAATCATCACTGTTTAGCTGCGTCCCGCTGGTTTCCGCCGTCGTGAGCATGCCACTGAGCGAGCCCGAGATGTAGTTTACAAACGCAGCATGAAGAAACAATGCCACCTCCAATACTTGAAGCGAAAATATATTCAAAGTTAAATCGTCAAATGTCTAAGCATAGAGCTCTGACCAGTGGTCAGAGACTACATGTATACGTAGGACATCTACCCAGCGCAAGTTGTGTTGCCTCAACGGCGCGTAGAGAAGGACATTGAAGTGGTTTGTACGTCTACAAACGGGCGTTCGATGTCCATTTTGCAGCGTTGGACAGCACTGATTACCCCGTAATCAAGTCCCCGAGTTGGGAGCATGTGTTTGTGCGGGGTTTCTTCCGTTTAATTGCTACCAAGCGGAAAGCTACGTTTTCTTCGCCTCCACCAACCTACATCGCCCGTTTTCACGCTGCTCGCAGTAGTCGAAGGGGATTGAGAAGAGCGGCCACTGCTCAGGTCCTCACTTTGCCAACGCGGACCAAGGACGACTTCATAATCAATTCAATGGCTGATCATGTCCACCGTTATCAAGGGATTAGGTAACAAGTTTTGAAGTATAGTTTCCCTACAATTTGCATTGGGTTCTTTTTTAGAAAAAATACGATCTTAGAGTCTCCGAAGATTAAACGACTTGCAATGTCGCATACAGGCACGGCGGTCACAGCCGTAATGCAACTCCTGCAAAGGACGTCCCCGATCCGCCAGCACTCACAGCATATCGCAACTCACCTTGCTTCCCCTCCATCGGCTGGGGATTCTCCATCACAAGTCAACCGCCACGCTGACGGACAAACGACAGCAATTCTTTTTTCAAAGCTGACCAAGTCATCACATCAAGGAACCGACAACAGATCAAACAAGACATGACGGAGGTACCGGCATCCCCCGCGCAGACCGATTTCCGCACGCTGCAGTCTCACAACTCAACTCACTCGCTCCGTGGCGCGATGGTCTCCACCCAGTACGAGTCTGTGGAGGACAAGGGGCTTCGCTCCATGACCAACCGACGCAAAGCGCTTATTGCGGCGGCTGTGTTGGTAGCAGTGGCGGCTGTGATTGCGGTTATTATCGTGCTGGTTGACTCGGACGACGATGACAGTTCTTCAGATGACAGCACCACGATTACCGCGGCCAGCTTGCTGGCTCTGTCTCATGTTGCTGTTACCAATTTGACTCTGGTGAGTGCGACGTCAGATGATGTTGCTAAGGATTCGTGTGTGGAACTCGAATGGATCCCAACGGGCGTCGAATGGACAGCTTCGACAGGGAGCACGATCTCGTTATTGTGTATGCAGCAAAGTGTGGAATCCACCAGCAGCGAAGACGTTGGAGCAGTTGACCTGGACGCTGTCTCAGTGATGCGACGTGTTGTGGTTGTATCGGACACCGAGAGCTGTCCGTCCAATATGCAGATGATTGTGAATCCCAGCTCCAACTTATTGGTGTGCGTGGAGTTCCTCTCGGCAAGTGCAGCCTTTGATACCGAGCAGTATGTGGTGGATATCATGACAACGACCGAGTCTTTTTACAACCACAACACACCCGGATGGATCACTTGGCCTGCTGACCTCAAGATGGAATCAAGCGCTCCCAGCGTGTACCTGAGCGCTCGTTACCCGGTTCGCCCTATCGTAGCGCTTCAAGTTTTGGCCGATGTGTCTACCGATACCGTTTACTCCGCTTGTGATGAACTGGAACCGCAAGGACAATGGGAAACTCCAGGATTCGTGCTTAAGTCTTCTGAAGGTGCAGCGGCCAACAGCGACTCCAGCGATGTTGTCATCTGCCTTCAACGTCCTCTCGCCAATGCAACTGGTTCATTCTCTGTCTTGACAGACCTTAGTGTGAATCTTCCTACCGAGTCATGTCCAGAGGCAGACAGTACTAACAGCACGGAAATCACAAGTGACCAGATCAAACTGTGCGCTTCATGGGACATCGTTGACTTTGGCAACAGCAGCTCCAACTCTTCAGTGTCTAGCGAGGCAACTTCATCCTTCGTAGCTGAGCTGGCACTGTACGAAACTTCTCAAGCTGAAGGTGCAGGTTTTAGCATCTCGTCTACAGTTCCTGGCGACTGGGACGTCGTTGGAAACGAGTTCACCGGAACTGTGCAAACTTTTGTCATGACGAGAAGTTACGAACCTTTCGTTATGAACACGTCGAGCAGTGACAACGAGCTGTCATCGTCAGTGGAATCGATTGCTTCGAACTCTAGCCAGACTCTCTCTTTCAAGGTCCTCCAAATTGCAGACATGCATCTCACGGGAAACCCTGACTACCGTTGTTCAGATGCTCCTAGTAACATTCGTGCCAGTCTATTAGCTGCAGCGTCGATTATCGCTCAAGAGTTGAGGGAAGAAAGCAACTCAACAAGCTCGGCAACTGCTGGTGAAGACAACGATCCAATGTACAACGAATGTCGTGAGGCGCTTACGGTTGCATTCCTCGACGAACTTCTGGACATTGAGCAACCTGACTTCGTGGTGTTCACGGGTGACAACGTCCAGACGAATTTGGACACTTCGATGCACGCTTTCGCAATGAGTATCTTCTCTGCGCGTGTCGAGCGTCGAGGAATTCCGTGGGCTGCAGTGTTTGGTAATCACGACGCAGAAGGAGGACTGTCACGGGAAGAAATGCTGGATTTGATGGTAGAAGGGAAGCAGTATTCGCATGTGAAGTCTGGACCTCGGGACATTGGCGGCGTTGGTAACTACGAAGTCAAACGTCGTGGCGCCCACTACGGGTCCCTGGGGCGAACAGGGATCCACGGTGTTCCGTATGTACTTCTTGGACTCGCATGCCACCATCGACACTGCAACGTACCCTTTGATCAACGATGATTCCGATTACGACTGGATTAAGGAGTCTCAGATTGCGTTCTACCGAGAACTAGCTGAGTCCCACGTTGTTGAAGAAGCTGCTGGTGACAAAAACTCGTCGCTGAACGGCAGTGTGCCGGCAGTCATGTTCTACCACATCCCAATTCCAGAGTACGCGATGGCCTCACCGCTGAACCGGAACGGCGACAAATACGAAGCTACTGCTAGTGCTGAGGTGAACAGTGGTCTGTTTTCCGCTCTCGTTGAGATGGGGGACGTCAAGGCCACTTTTGTGGGCCATGATCATATCAACGAGTACTGCTACTTGCGTCAAGGAGTTCAGCTATGTTATGGTGGCGGTATTGGTCTAGGCAGAGCTTACGGTCTCACCGACTTCGAGCGACGTGCACGGGTACTAGAATGGACCTTCAACACCAACCAGACACGCACGTTGCAGAGCTGGAAACGTTACTTTGACGATCCCACGCAAATTCAGTCAGTTGAGTTGCTCTATTCGGACTAGGAAGGGTTTTCTTGACTTCTACGAAATTCTAACAGCTCATGTATTAATAAAAATGGCATGATTTAACTTACTCCCTCCGCTTCAGATTACTTGACCAAATTAAGCTTTTTCAAGCTTGCTGACAAAACTTTGCACATACAAAACGCACATAAAAATAATCAAGCGCTCCAGACCGTATTTTTTTTAGATGTTCTTAATTCGCACTGTAGCTGGGCTAGATACTAAAACCTCGCAGAAAAAAGGCAATTCGAAACGAGTAATCTATATTAAGATACTATGTATTTGTTGGGTTCATGAAATGTGCTGTCAACAAATGCATCTGTGTCAAAGCGGCAGAGCATGCAGCATCACTTCCTCTTTCTTTTACTATTCTCAAAACGAGTCAGAGCTCATTAAGTTAGAGATTGACAAAGTCAGACTAGTCAGCTCACATAGAATCACCGCTCCCGAGCTCTACACAACCATGCAGAACGACCCGATCAACGAACTCAAGAGTGCTATTGAATTCATCGATGCAAATGGTGCTTCATATTTTCGTTATTCAAGGTGTCAAGAAGCAGTCTCTATCGACGAGCTTCGGGCAAGGTCGCACTTGACGGCGTTCAACAACATTATTAATATCTCAGGACATGAAGGAAGGCGTCGTAGAAGTTGTCTTGTTTCGATAACGTCGTGGGATTTACATGATGGACAACGAGCTCCGTATTCTGGCTCGTGAAGATACAAAAATAAGTGGTATTACGGTGAGTGATACATTCCCAAATTCTAGGTGGCCACTTAAAATTGTTTGGCGGTATGGCGATAAGCTGACTCGAAAAAAGGCCCAGATATAGGATATCAAGCGCTACAATATGTCTACACAAGGAGGAGCTGCGGAGATCAATACAGGATCCGGGACCCGACCAAGTGTGGAACTGCGACGAAGCAGGACTCTGTCTTTAGGGACGCTGAGCGCCTCGGGTAATTTGTACGAAGGGTAAGTGGACGAATATTATGCGCTTAAGCGATCACAAAAATATGTCTGTGATGGCGTGTGTTAGCGTAGCGGGTAATCAAGTCCCACTTACATTAATGTTTGCAGGGAAATGTCGCCAACCAGACTGGATGAGAGGAGCTCTGGACGGCTCGGTGTGTGCCGCGACGGAATCCTCCAGCATCAACGGGTTGCTATTCTTACACACGCTATCGCAAAATTCTACAGCGATAGCGTACCTTCTTTAAGAAGGCTTCTTGCACTTTAATCAGCAAACTGGCCCGAGCGTTCGAGAAACGCGTAATGTTGGTCGTGCTCTTCGCTCTGAGTGAGGTCTTCCAGCATCAATGCACGCATTACGATGCTAAACGCTTTGTCGTTCAGCATCGCGGTGGACTGTGCTATCATTCGATGACCAGGTTATCCATTGCAAGTAGTCTGAGGCCCATTCTCAACCGGCATGGACGCACCGCACCGCATCGCACAATTATGCTCCGTGCGGCCGCATCGGTTGAGAACGCCCGTGCGGCCGTTGGAAACGCCCAACCACTCGAGAAACCACCTGGATTATCTTAAGCAAGCGGCCGTGTTGCACCTGGGGAATTGAGCCGCCAACTTCACTTCATAAAACGAGTAGCAGAGCAAAGAGCAGCTGCAGGCTGGTGTGTTTCAGCGCGGCGAAGTGTCACGAGCTTTCTACTCTCAAATCGAGGTGGGCCTGGCATCTCGAGTCCAAATGTTGAAGTAATGCTGTTGAAGTCTGCCATGCGGTAAGGATCGAAGAAATACGGCATTCTTATTGGTAATCTCGGTGCGTACCCTATTGCATCTCGTGCGGTTAATTCGGCCAAACCGCCGCACGAGCGTTTTTTTTTTGTTTTTCGACGCATGCGTCGGAGACTTAGGGCTGTCTCCACAAGCCAATCAAAAGGCGATATTCGACGCATGCGGCCGCACCAGCCCGGTTGAGAATGGACCTGAGGGCCATTCTCAACCACGCGCAGCACAGTGCAGCACATCGCATTTTTATGCGCGTGTGCTCGTGGCGGCTGAGAACACCCGTGCGCCCCCCCTGCGCTCTGGCAGTTGGCACAAACACTTGTTGAAGAGACGCAGCATTCGCAGCATGAGATCACAAGGCAGCTTCGCCGGTAGTGACCCTGCTCAGTTTACCCAGCTCGCCCAGCCTGGTAGTGACCCCGCTCAGTCCACCCAGCTCACCCAGCTTTGGCAAGCGCATGCGCCAGCAACTATCACATCCCCGTTTCTCCCAAGAGAGTTCATGCCGTTTGCTACGGCGGGGAGTCAATATACCGAGACATTTATCGATACACCAGATGAAATAGGGTAAAATCATCGAATTCACGCGAATGCAGTATCCGCGGCGCTTCCCCGAAGTGCTGTTCCTTTATCTCGCATACATCGACAAGCTTGTCAGCCTGAAGCGGACTCGGATAGCTCTGAGGAAGGCATTATCGGGGTGCTGACCCCAGATATGATGGCAGCCGCACCTAATGAGGCTGCGACTTCATCTCAAGCCCCCGCGACCGTACCATCAATCGACTACAGCGAGTGGAAGGCTGATGAAGTGCGAAAAGAGTGCACGAGGCGTAAAATTCGTCTACCGAAAGACATACTCAAGGAAGATCGGGTTAAAGCGCTGATGTACTACGACGCAAAGAAAACAGCCAAGGGAAGAAAGTTGATTGGCTAGTGCTTCACACCTTACCCCACCTTGCCCTACGTGCCCAAGTGACCCCTAAAACGCATGCAACTTCAAAGTCGCATGACGCCTTTTTTATACTCTCAGGCGCATGCGCCCTAGTCAATAGCTAGCCAATCATATCCCTTTACTTGGGCGCATGGGAGCGCATGTGCCGGTTGAGAATGGCCCTGAGTCCCCGCCGCACGTTACCATCTCGCCCATATTTACGCTTTAGCTTGGTCTCGATGGTCTCGCTCCGCTCGGACGACATATGTATCCGTTGTACAAAGCGTTATGCCAGTGCGATTGCTGCGGGCCTTAATCTCGTTACGGAACAGAATGAGTCCCATCATCGGAGCACGCTTAAACACGGCACCTCCTCATGCATTGTCACTCAACAGATCGTGGTATGACGACCTAAAGAGAAGCATCCGTCCTTGGCGAGATGGTAGACTACGCCCTTGTAAAAGGCCACCCACTCCCGAATGTGCAAGTTGCTGCTTGCGCTGGTACGAACCCTTGAAGACCGCATAGTACTTACCACTCGAGCGGGTGCGGATACGATGTTTAAAGGCACACATGGGGTGGTGATCGAAGCTGTAGCGCATGACGAACTCTAGTTTGGTCCTGGGCTAGCGACATCACGGACGTTGTTCTCCTCCGCTCTTAGCCAGCCCTAGCCAGTAGCCGTGAGCATGTGATTTCCATTTCGCTACCCACGCGATGCCCTTCGAGACAGCCGACCGAGTAGCACGTCGTCAGTACGTACATACGTTCTTTAGGTAGAAGAGCATTCTAGACGTCACTGACAATCGGAGCACGTCGACTTTCACTGGCTGCTCACCGATAAAGTCCAATCCACATCCTCTAGCAAGAGTTGTGGCGATAGGCTTTATACTTTGAGCACCATCTCGCTTAATTTCTTGCGTCTGCTGCACCCCCTGTCCTCCCCTGCGAGTTCTCTCAGCTTAAGTTGAGAGCACAACAGCTTTACAGATGTAGACTGCAAGTTTTGATAGGGAACCGTTTGCGTCTCTTCATCCGAACAGCGTATCCTTATTATAGTCGGTCTATCGCGGAGCTGTCGATGAATGCTTATGTGAGAAACGTGTTTACGGTTTTGGGTAACTTCGCTCTATTCAGACCAACTGCAAAACGTCCCGTAAATATTATTGGGCTGGGGTCCATTAGTAGAAATGCTACCGTACCGTTAGACGAGCGACGAGCTGATGGAAGCCGGCGTGTCTCAGCAGCTAAGAGGGGCGGTGTGTAGGAGAGGATGGGCGACGTGACTTGCACGATGCTAAGCATGGCGAGCGACGAGTTGGTTGAAGCCGGCGCGGTGTAGTGCTGGCTCAGAAGCGAAGTGGTGGATGCAAGGTGATAGCTGTCGTTAGTTAGCAGTAAAAAAAATGGCGGTGTGTAGGAGAGGATGACCGATGTGATATGCACGCCAAATATGGTGAGCAATGAGGCGGTTGAAGCCGGCGCCATGTAGTGGTGCTGATAAAGTGACAGCTAAGTGGACAGCGCTGTGAAGTGGTGAGAGGCAAGGATGTCAAGCAAAGTTTATTGCTATACATACATTCTTTTGAGGATTAAGCAACACGAGAATGCTCTGCTACTCGGAAGAAAACTATTGCGCGGTCTCTTGCTCAATAACTCCGTGATTTGCTTAGTGAATTGCAGACGGAGTGGCCGCATTGGCAGCGAAAAAAGGCCAGGTTGTGCTTGCGATAGCGAAATGTCAACTCTTACATGGGTGAGATGTCACGTACAGCAAAAATGCCTAGACGCGACGTGTTGGCCCAGCCAAAGTCGTACGAAGCGCAATTAAGACGGCAGGAGTGATTGATGAAGCGAATCTCGTTACCGTATGTGCGTGCATCGATAACTAGTTCCATTTTGTCATCCCAGTACGATTTTCCCCGCAGTGGAGCCTGGTAGCGTCAGTCGTGTCTTTCATTGAAAGACTTCCAAAAATCTCCTAAAGCAAGAACCAAACCCAAATTTAGGCTAGACATGATACATCACTTGGGACCGGTTTAGTACCAGCTTGGTCTAGGATGTGACACCAAAAATGGACCAAGGACTCGCAACGTTAAACTCTCCGCACAGCAACAGTGAAGGCCCTACGGAAACTGTGGGTTGTGTAGGCGGTAGGAGGGCGATCTTGATGGTCTTGATGTAGGTGGAAGGGCGATTCAGAGGCCCCAGTTCCGCCTCCTACATAATGTACGCAGCTCTTGACCTAGATTAGAATTTGTATGGTAGTTTTCGTACTTAACATTTAAATTGGGGAAAACCCTTCTAATCAGATTGCTTGGTTCGAACCAAGCGCATGGGTTGGTGAGACGTAATTTGGGTCTGACCAATGTTTGGTACCAGTTTTGTACGCTCGTGGTCCACCAGATGGGAGAGGTTTGGTCCGCGCGCTTGGGCGATTTGTGGAAGTCTTTCATTGGCGTCTACAACGAGGACCTCGCCAACGTATTTAATCACGAATGCGCTGTTTGGGAATAGCTTATCGCAAAAAACACAAAGGCCGACGCGAGTCTCAACCAAGTCAATTTGGAATTGTGTATTCGAAGAGAATCCCGCATTTGCGGCCAGCGGAGTAGCTATTGGAATTGTAGATGCAGCACGTGGCAACATTAAAGCAAGTACTTCTTAAAACTACGCCATAGAGATTCACAATTTGCTTTGCCGGTGAGAGAGAGAGCGCAAGAGAGAACATAGCTAAAACAAATACGAAACAGCTTTGTATTCTGAACGCTGGTAGTGCTTGTGTTAGTGTGATGTTAAAGAGTTACCCGAGCCATTTTGCGCCGGACAATAGATTTCATTGCCGTTTGATGGTGACACTAGTGGAAGATGGGCGGGATTGGAAAAATTAAGGCGGAGGATGGAGATGCAAGATCATTCGGCGTTTTCGACGCCCGTTGGACGGGAGGTAGGACTGGGAACTGAGACTGGAAACACGCGCTCATTCTACATTATGAACGCTGGAACGACCTGTGTACCGTAAAAAACGATGTTGGAAGCTTAGACTTTTGTTACCGGTTGAAGACGAGTTTCGAAAGAGTTAGGGTGTACACGGAATACTTCCGAAAGAGCTGCGCTTACACGAAGTCCCTCCATGAACACGGTCACGCTTCCGGAAGAGGGTCTGTCGCCATTCCGGTGATAAGAGTTTTCAACTCTTGGACATAGTCCAACAACTCCTTCTCACCATGCCATGTACTACCTCCGCTCTGAAAAAGATAACCATTTCAAATAATATCACAGCCTACCCAAAACAATACCCCGTCTATGCCGATCACTTTTTGGATTTCGAATCTTCCGCGCTTTCCCGACCAGACTGGCTCCTGCTCCCAGCTTTCATTTTGAAAGCTGGCACCTGGGGGAGATCACAGACAGTGAGCGCCAGGTCGTCTGGGAGACCTTACTGCTTCGCAGCGTGGGAGGAGTGCTCAATCATGGAGAAATCGTTCGGGTTGCAGCGTACTTCCGTGTGGGCCGCCAAGTTGTCGAGCGAATTTGGAGGCGTGGAATCAATTCGATGGGAGATCGAGTAGCAGCCGTGGTTAAGGCAAGGAAGAGCGCATGTGGTAGGAAGAAGGTGGTTCGAGCTGAGCTGTGCGAGAGAATCGCTGCAGTTCCTGTCAATGAGCGCGAAAACCAGCGTCTGCTTCAGCGCGCGTCCAACATGAGCTGCTACCTGGTTCAGCAGCTGATCAAGGAAGGCTACATACGGCGTGCGCTCAGACAGACCCGCCCACTACTTACACCCACGCACAAGTTGGCGCGCCTCCGGCACAAGGACATGCAAGTACGAGCTGGCACTCTCCCAACGTCACTGCCTTGTGACGCTACCTCACTCGCCAATGCTAACGCGTACATGCTGCTTCTTGCAGCGAGCAGCCCCCCCCCACCGCCTACCCCTGAAGTTCTAGAAGCCCTACTGAGCGCCCCTTCAGAATGTGGCGATGTAGTTGCCGTCTTAGATCCGTTTTTGTATCTGTAGTTGCACGGCGGAGCATGAACGCCATGCCTTGCTAGTTTCTCACTGTCAGCTCTCGGTCATAAATCTAGCTAGCCAGCCTCTCACAAATTAATAAACGCTCAAATGAACGAGGCGGAGCGCTGCGCAAAAAAAAAACAAATAGTTATCTTTTTCCGAACGGAGGTAGTAGCTTGGAACTTCGACCGGATACTGTACGACTGGTTAGGCGGCTCGAGCACGCGCGAAAGCTGTTGCTTCAGCTGATCCCAAGTGGGAAATGCAGCGTCAACAGAGGTGCCCCACGTAAGTGCCCATTCGCGAGCGCGGCCTCCAAGCCTAGCGATAGCCAGCGGCATGCACTGATGCTCAGACTGGAGCAGGCCCATCGTATGACCATCTCGACCGCACGGGTCCAGAGAAGGAGATTCTCGCGATCCTTCCCCTCGAAGGTTTTTGCGCTCACGATGAGCGGTTTATGTCTCATAGACTCTTCACGCGTCATCGACGCCGCTCATCTTCTCTTGGACGTGCTCCAAGAGCGTGTTCTCGTAGCGTGAGAACGATTTCATCCTTGCGGTGACTGCATCTGGACCTTGCGACGCAGGGTGAGAACTATTCCAGCCTGGTGGTGACCGCCTCTGCACCTTGCGAGCCACCCCTCCGGGCCAAGCAAGGACATAAGCTTCGTAAGGGCGTCCTGCTGCGCCGTCCTCGCAGAGGATATAATCAACTGACGCAGGAGCGGGATTGACTACAAATGCTACCAGGGACTGCCGTGACTTTAGCGTGAGAGGAAGACGTTTGACTCAAAAGAATCAATTATACTAAATTCCTTATCCGAAGGACACTTACAGCCCACGACCAGGACTCAAAGTTTTACCCTAACTTTATGCATCAAAACCAGAAGTGTTTATTTACTATTATTGCGGCCAAGTCGCCTAGGGGTAAATGCATCTGTTTAATTATCCAGTATAGTTTAACCTAATCAAATGCATAACGCTGTGGCTTTCGGCGAACGTACTGAGAGACCTTGTTAACTCTCCACCTGATGTATTGAGAGCTTGCTACCTATCCGGGTACTCTGTACCCCTGTGTGTTCCACACCATGTTACCCCGTTACACTTTTCCTCTCATGAATTGTGACTATTTTCACTAAGCGTCCCCTTGGGAGCTATTTGGGTCGTCTTGGTTATGTTGTCTTTAGTATGCTGGACCTTGATGTGGGCATTGATGCCTTGGTAATAAAATACGATTTGTTTAGTGATACACCCTAAACAAGCCAACCAGATGCCACACATGGATCCAATCATGCACCGACATCGTATAACGCTCCCGCAATTACGGGTTTACCCTTCATTCAGATGTCAGAGGAAATGACATACTAAAGTGCTCTTGACGGAGGAGGCGACATCTAAAAAATCCAGATCGTAAAATCTATTCGCTTCCAGTAATTTGAGCTCGTGTGTAAAGCCGTGCAACGGGAGATAAAAAGGGATAAGCTCCATAGATGCATATACAGTATGGTAGTATCTGAATTTCGCATCACTTCCACTTAAATCCATAAACTTTTCGGTGTAACTCTGCTGCGGCTTGCTGTTAGGCACAGAACAGGGCCAGGAAGTCTCCACCTTGAATGCAGTACCGCGCTTTTACCACAAGACTTTTCTAACACCGCTGTTGGTGTGCCAAGGTTGCTAAACGAGTCAGAGTTGCCGATCGTGGGCTTCTACTATGCCGGAAGCGAGTACTCGCTATGTGATTGCATCCATGGATTAAGTCAATTGGCCGAGAAAGTGGCAGATATAGTGGAGCAGAACTACTTGCGATCTTGCATTTTTGTGGCGGCGGTGCTTTAGTTTTGATTCAGCTAGCTCTTCATAATTATTAGCGCGATATTGTTTGCAAATTATAGCCGGTAATTCAACAGCGATGTCAAGACGGTACGGATCCTGCTCAAGGTCAAGAAACAAAAGTAGAAACGGACTTAAGGTGGCGGTGTAATGGGCCCCTCCATTACATAAGTAGGTAGATTTCTTTACAAAAGTAGGTGCATCAGCACACGACTAGCGTGTGCTGAAATGCTGTCATGCCATTGGCTGATATATGGGGAGCCAAGCCCATTATTAGCCAATTGGACTATGACGTGTATTTGAGTGGCCAGGGCTGTGGCCTTGGTCCTAAAATAAAGTCAGAGTTGATTTTTCCTTAAAACTAAGACTCAGTCGTCCTATTGTGAGCTTCCTCAACACTATAGTGTAAGCAAGTAACGGAGTAAATACCTGGCCCGTTACACCTGGTAGCACTTTGTAGTCCTTCCAACGACCAAGTTCGACATGAGCCAAGACCTCGACCACGCTGCCTTTCTCCATCTCACTCGGATCGAGTGGAAAGCTCTCCACCGCCTCGCGGCGGTGTCCGGATTAGCCGTCGTCACGTCGCTGCTGCGCTCAGCGACGCCCGACGAGCAGCGCGTTGCGGCACAAGAATTCATGGAACGCGAGCTCACCGATGCGAATCGGCGAGTGTCAACTCCCTCGCGTATCTCCACGAATGACGTCATGAAGCTAGAGACGTCCACCTACTCCGGTGCCGGAACAGATCGACTTCCGCTGAATCGCTGGTTTCGAGAGATCGACATCGCCATCGCCTCGAGGTTGATCGAGGCGCCTTCCGCGAAGGTCCATTTCCTCCTCTCGAGGCTGTCTGGGAAAGCCAAGGAATGGGCTCTCGGCAAGTTGGTTGTCGATCCCAACGTCTTCCCCACTCTGAATACCCTCCCGAGTGACCTTCGGCTCGCTTTCGAGCCGCCGCAAGATGATCCCGAATTCGGGCAGACTTCTTCGCCCTTCGGCAAGGCACGATGACTATGCGCGACTACGTCCAGAAGACACGACACCTCGCGTCGTGCATCGTGTCTAAGCCGATCGATATGGCCTCTCAGGTTCATGTATTCGTGTTCGGTATGCGCGAAGGCATGACGCGCTACTGCCTTACAAGATCGGACCCCTCTACGCTCGAAGAGGCATTCGCCCTCGCACTGCGCGAGGACTACGTGGTTGCGGCGTCATACGCTCACGCGCTACCTGCTTCTGCTCGGGATTCTGCGCCCGAGCCCATGGACATCGACGCTATCGATGCGACGAGCAATCGTCAGCGTTATGCAGCGCGTCGGAGCTGGTGTTCGGAACAATCGTTCTCTCACCTGCTCGCGCTGTCGGAAGGTCGGTCATCGCGCGGCGGAGTGCCGCGCGCCAGCTCCAGTGCTTGCGCATGTCGATGCCGAGCCCGTGAGTTCTGACCAGGCCAAAAAAAACGGTCAGGG